CAGGTATCCATCCTACTCTTAAATTATTTTGTTTGCTTCATCCTCTGCTCTGCAGGCTAAGATCCTCCTCAGGAACCATCAAGAATAAGTTGTTGCATACATAACATTCAGGCTTGTTCCATCATAATAATAGGATGTTCTAGCTTTCACTATCATCCACTTTGAAAACAGTTAAACAGTTCATTTGAAAGATGAAAAGAAATATAGGAAAATATGAACTCTTATACTGGATGGGTCTGACTAACCCAACATCCTTTCAATCCCCAATACCTAATAGTTGGCTTATACACTGAAGTGCCAGTACATATATCTATTCCAAAATCCATGTTTACTAATACAACTCTGGATATTCTTATTCCCAATATGCTTGAGTCCTGATAAACTCTTGGTTTATGATATATTGCTAAAATGTTCACAGACTGACTGTGCACTGTCTCTTTCATGGCACATCTCAGAAACATTTGGTGCCATTGTTAGTATTACTGCCAAAATAGGCTTCCTGACAAAGCCCTCCTTGATATTTTCTAGGTTGGGACCTTTGATGCAGCATGTCATTCTTATTCTATTTTTCAGAGCAAGACATCCTCAGGCACCTTCATATCGTTAGCGCTTATTTTTCCCCATAGGTCTTACCCCCTATTACTGGACCAAAAAGCTCCAGGGACATTTTAAGCTTTCCCATTTGTAGTGGATATTGCTCTGAAGAGTTCAAACTATAAGTTACCTTTGAAGTAGAGCTGGCTTCAGAGCTGAAGAAATACCTATTAGTGCTTTAGTTCCACTTTGGACTCTCCCACCTTCCTTTTAATGTAGCCAAGATTTTGGTTTGTCATTTTCAGCATTATCTCAATTTGGGAAGGCTTTTCTTCAGAATGTATCTGTATAAGATGGAAGTTTACATGTTTTTCCTCCTATTTGTATCACCATGGATATATAGAAGCTTGAATGCACCTTGATACTTCACTGCCCAGCTTCCAATATCCTTAGATCCTTCAAAAAGTTGCATTTGCCCATACTTCTTAGTAACTCAGTGGGCACATCTATACGAGATGCTTATTACACAGAAGGCTAATTCTACTGTGAATGATCATGGCTGGCAAAAACCCTGCTAGTTCACCATAGATTTAGTCTAATTTGCATTAACAATCGCTTAAATAACGTTCATCTGTGCTAATGTGCAGTAGCACTAATTATGGCACATTAAATTAGTAACTGCCATTACAGGTATTAAACTTAATGTGCCATAATTATGGAACATTAATGAACATGTAGATGCACCAAGTGTGTTTGCCATAGTCTGATTTCACTACCTTGCTAACTATTTCATTCATGAGAAAGTACTCAAATCATTACTCATCCCCAAATCAGTCCCTAGGGCACCTTAATCCAGAAGGCATCTTAATTTCCTGTCCCCCTCCTGCCTCAGAGAGACAACCATTCACAGAGGCCAGGCTCCTCACACTACAGACTTTAATCTACTGCAGCACTCAGCTCACCTACCCAGTAGTCATTTATTTCCCTTAAGAATCTGCTGTCAAAGACCTTGTCAAAAACCTTTAGAAAATCCAAGCAATCCATGTATGGTGGCTTTCCTTAACCTGCTATTTCATTAACTTTTTCAAAGAAATCTAACAGGCCAGTAAGATGCAATGTGCTCTCACTGAAACCATTCAGTTTAAAACAACAGTTCATATTTATATATGTATTGTTTTTTCTTTCACTTTACTATACATTTTTAGGCCACATCTCTTCCAGTAGAAATTACCAGCATACAGGCATTCTTTCAGTTTCTCCAGAAGAAAACACAGACCATTTGACAGATCTTCCAGGTTGACACACTCTCTGTGAGAGAGTTTCTCTTGCTAGAATGAATGCCTGTACATTCAGGCATTCAGTAATCTAAATCTCCTTCACATCAAACACAAGGTCATAAGATAAGTAGCTGCATAAAGGGCAACTGGCCAAAGCAAAACCCAAGAAAGACAGAGAAATATTGACAAGAACAGGTGAACATTTCTCATAGATAGCTGAATCTATTATATTGTATTGAGAGAGAACCATGCTTGCTGATTGTTAATGTGGTACACACTTTTGAGGTATTTGCAGTTTGTTCAATGTTCCTGGCTAAGCAAATGGACATCAGCAACTTCTTAGTATGAAAGCTTGACTTGCAGACAATGACCTGTCTGGTCAGACTGGGCACCTATATATGAGTGCTAAGGCTGCTCTGATGTGCTGGAACTCTAGCGTGTCAAACCAGACTCGACTAATAGAGTCTGCTGGAGTGTAGCAATTGCTGCACTCTAGCAGCCTCCTACATTTCATGTATCAGCATCTCTGCATTTAAAAATGGTGATGGGAGTGCTTGAACTAAAGCTTGTAGAACAAGCTTTAGTTCAAGTGCCCCTGCTGCTATTTTCAAGTGCAGGAATGCTGATGCAGAAGGCGCAGTGCCACGTTAATTAGGACAGCTCTTGGGTCCTCTCTAATTAAAGTGCCACCCCACCCCTCCAGAGCACAAGTAAAAGTGCCTATTAGGATATGGTCAGGGAGTTTCACACACTAGTCATTTCTTGGCTTAATTCTACAATGGCTAGCATATAGACTTGAAATTCAAAGCTAATGCAATATTTGGGAACCTCTCTGAGTAAAAAAAGGGTGATGAAATCTCTTGGTTTAAAAACTCCTTGATAAGTACCAGGTTCATTTGCCAGGTTCTCATTGGATCTGAAATGGGTTCCAGAAGAAAAGCACCAGAAACATAATCAAAGTTTAACTTGTCTCCTTTTTTCAATTAAAAAAAAAATCTTTTTTAACTTAATGCAGATTTCTAAATCTCTCCAAATCTTACCCCTTTTTAAGAATGAAAAGAAATGGCGAAAGAAATCAGAAAGAGATAGGAAGGCTCATTTCCTCATATAACAAAGAGCACTTTGGATGGAGAATTCCAAGCAGACCATCTTTAAAAAATGGTATTTCATCACCATAATTCATTCCATTTTCTTTTAGTTAGAAATACCATCTTTCTTACTGCACTATGCAGAGTGACAGTCAGTTGACTACATGAAATAAATAATGCATAGAAAAGCTACATTTAAGTTTAATGCTACTGAGATTTATTTCTACAAAATAGTTACATTTGGATGGTTGCCCAAAAAACCTGGAAAGCCGCTACTCCTTTCCACTTTCAGTTTCATATGTATGCCCCAATGTGGCTTTTAGATCTTAATTAAAGCTCACTCTGACTGCACACCTGTTTATGATTAGGCCTACATTATATTTTAGCTCATGCTGCACTGAAATAAGACACTATGCACAGACACTGTAAAGCATGTGGAGATCTCTGTGGCTCTGGTTTTTATGAATAACCAGAAAGCTCAAGATTTTACTATTTACTATAGAAATTTACTTAGTTCAAATATTAACTCATTCCCAAAAGCAGGTACAATAATAAAAATCAATTTGCTGCTCTCATGAAATATATATAAGGTACTCATTCTCTAGCATATGGTGGTAGCACTGTCTATAAATGAAACTGAAAAACAGCTTCCATTTTAGCCAGTAGCTGATGAGAATAGATGGAAACCTCATGAATACTTGTGGCTATTTTCATGGATCTACATTGCATTGCATCATTTGATGATGTTGGAATACAGCAATGGGAAAAAACAAACAAACAGAAGAAATGATAGAAATAACATGTTTGCATCTTTTGTTTTTAAAGAAGGCTATGGACAAAATAGTGTTTATGGTTATGATTTATTGTGAGGAGCCTTGAAACCTTGAGAATCTATGCTTGAGAACCCAAGTTCTCAGGGCTGCCAGATTACCTCCTGCAAAGTAGAGATCTCCCAAAAGCTCTGTCAGCTTCAGCTCAAACAAAGCTGTCACAGTTTCCCTGGTTGACAAGTTCTAGGCTCCATAGCATAAAGCCTTTAGGCAAGACTATTAGTGCTCCGATATAAATATGAAACAAAATTACTTTTTGATCTTTTTTTCATTTAAATTCAGAATTCCCAGTTCCCCAAGATATTTCAACAGGTCAGAGTTTAATTCCGGACACTTCCACAAAGAGCAGGAATTCTATATTCTAAAGTAGTTATTTGCCTTTCATAGAAAAAGTTTGTGGAAGCAGTACAAGCAGAATTCAAACTGTATCACTAAACTGCTGTGTCCCTCAGACAATTTGCTTCTTTCTTAGTTATCAGTAAAAACAGAGGAATTGGCTAGCTCCATTTTTCAAAAGGAGTATAGGCACTTAGGATCCTGGGTATTCTTGAAAGACAAATAAGTCAATACAACTGTAAGGACATCTAATTTCCTAGAAGAAAAAAGAAGTGGAAAAAATTAGTCTGTAGAGTTTTCAAGTTGTGCTGGTTTATAAAAAATGTGAAACTATATCATGCAAAATCAATTATCTGGGACTATCTGATTAGACATTTTTGACACACTGGCATCCTTGTCTGAGGCCAGGACACTCCATCAGTCTTTGATAGGGAAGCTTTTTGAGTATACCTCCTTATCATTCATTATGTAGTAACCTATATTTTAAAAGGTCAAGCTTTAGAATCTCATACATTGATGAGCCAGATTTAAGTTAATATTGACCCTATTAATGCACAAATCATTAGTTTTTATTAATATTTTAACAGCAGCTACAACAGGGAAAGGTTGAAATTGAGAGCTTACACTATGTTACTAAACAACAACCAACACCGACAGATATTATTAAGAAATGTAAACCATACAGAAGGATCAAGATGAGTTGCTGCTCACAGATTTACCACAGATTTGAATAAAAATAAGTTATTGATTTTTTTCTGCAATTAGAAAAAATATATTCACAAATCCTCCTTAACCTCATAATCTGTGAAAAAGGTCTGTCTTTGAAAAGAACCTATAGTTTCTCAGGATTATATTCCTTAAAAGCAATCATTGCTCCTTCATTCATAAGATAAAAAATCTTTTATTTTACATTACATATTAAACATATTATTTACCTATCTCAGAAGCAGCAACTGTAATGTTATACCAAGGTGTTTCCTCTCTGTCAAAGATCTTGGCAGTCTTAATGGTTCCAGTGTTAGCATCAATGGTGAAATATCTATCTTCTTCTGAATTATGATCAATGAAATATCTATGAAGAAAGAAAAATAAATACATAAAATAAATACATAAATCATTTGGCACAAACATTCAAATTACCAGAAACCTACAATGAATACAATGTAAGAGTTACTTTGAAATCTTTAAAGAATCATCACAGTTTTTAAAAGGAGTACTGTTATATTATCAAGGTATTCAAAAAAAAAAAAATCTATTGCTTCCTTCATATGAAACATTAACTTTTGATATAAAACAAGCCTTCCACTAATATTTACATTTATTTTCCAGGAGTTGGTATTTGATAAAGCAAAACAAACTCTTTGTTGGCTGATCTCCTCTGAAGAGCTTTAAACTAGGTTCAATGGGGGACAGGGAACCAGTGGTTGATGAGAACCCAGGGTTGGAAAGCCACAATCAAGGCACCAGACCTAACCAGGTAAGCACTAAAGGGAACACACACCATCAAGGCAAAGGGACACCAAGTGCACCTACTGGGGGGCTGAAATATAGTTACACAAATGCCAGGAGTATGGGGAACAAGCAAGAGGAACTCACACTCCTGCTTACTAGCACACAGTATGACCTAGTCGGCTTAACTGAAACATGGTGGGATTCTACGCATGACTGGGCGGTAGGCATTGAGGGGTACAGGTTGTATAGACAAGACAGAGTAGGGAGAAAAGGCAGGGGTGTAGCTCTCTATGTTAAGGAGTGGTACACATCTTCTGTCATCGAGGCAGGAGTAAAGGAGGGAATACCGAGGCATTGTGGGTCAGAATTCAGTGGCGGGGCAGGGGAAAAGGACTTAGTAGTGGGGGTCTACTACAGACCTTCTCACTAGGGTGATGAGCTAGACGAGGTATTCTTCAAGAAGTTTTCGCATGCCATACAGGTGAGGGAGGCACTGGTCATGGGGGGCCTAAATTACCCAGACATTAGCTGGGACGAACAGGTGGCCAAAACAAGCCACTCAAGGGGGTTCTTACACTGCATGCAGGACCTCCACCTAACCCAGATGGTGTCTAGTCCCACCAGGGGTAGCGCTTTGCTAGACCTGGTCTTAGCAACAGGGGATGATCTCGTGGGGAACCTGCAGGTACACAGTAACCTGGGTGATAGTTATCACCACTTCGTAGAGTTCACTATCCAGCAAAGGGTCAGAAAAATATCCAGTGATGCTAAAGTTTTAGACTTCAGATGGGCCAATGTTAATAAACTTATAAACCTAGTTAGTAAGGTGACTGAACTCAAGAGCTTCGGGCTAATGGGGGTCCAAGAGTGTTGTAAGTTTCTCAAGGGAGGATATTGGGACACAAAAGGAGTCTATCCCCTTATGCAGGAAAGGAGCTAAGGGGATAAAAAAGCCCCCTTGGCTGAACAGGGAGCTTCAGGAAAGACTGGGGGCAAAGAATGAGATGTATAGGCAGTGGAAGCAGGGGGCAGCCACCAAAAAAGCATACACCACCCTGGTGCGCTACTGCAGGGAGTCAGTTAGGCAGGCCAAGGCAAGACTGGAGCTTATGCTGGCTACAACAATCAAGGACAATAAGAAGTCCTTCTACAGATACATAGCAAGCAAAAAGAAGGTGCAGAGTGCAGATGCTCCCCCTCTATGCAGCATTGGTCAGGCCACAGTTGGAGTACTGTGTCTAGTTTTGGGTGCTGCACTTCAAAAAGGACACGGAGGATCTAGAGAGGGTTCAGAGGAGGGCCACTCGCATTAGTGGCCTCCATGAAACACCCTATGGGGAGAGGTTGAGGGATCTGGATCTCTTCAGCCTATACAAAAGACAGCTGAGGGGTGACCTTGTAGCTGCCTATAAATTTATCAGGGGAGGACAGCAGGGAATTGGAGATGCGCTGTTTACTAGAGTGCCCCAGGGAGCAACTAGGAATAATGGGTGCAAACTAGTGGAGAGTAGATTTAGGTTAGACATTACAGACATTACATAAATTTCATAGATTTCATAGACATTAGGACTGGAAGGGACCTCGGAAGATCATCGAGTCCAGCCCCCTGCCTCAAGGGCAGGAAGTCAGCAGGGATCATAGGATCCCAGCAAGGTAGACATCTGTTCCACTTCCAGGTTTGCTGCTGAGCATGCAGGGGGCTCCCCCATGCTCCTGTGGGATGCTCCATCCACTCCACCATTGCAGCACTCACGAGCCACACCTGGAACTTCGAGGTATGTAGAAAAAACATTTAAATCTGTGTCTATAGCCCAATCACTGATTCTCCGAATCAGCATCGAATCTTCAGATTTGGATTCCGCCAAATCGAATCGGGACAGTGATCTGAATCAACAAATTGAATCACTGTCCCTGAATCCAAATCGAATACAGCCTGTTTCATACATCCCTAATACATGCACACATATACATACACATACACGTATCTATACACACATATACATACATACATATACACGCATATATACACACACAAACACACACACATATACATGCACACATACATACATATACATATAGATAGATAGATACACACACACATAAAGATATAAGATAAGGAGGTAAAGGAGGGAACGATTAATGTCATTGCTAAGTACTTGCTGCCATTGTACCTCAGAGTGCTCATTTCCTGTACTTACAGAATGACATGTCTTCTTGACATGATTTTGAAACATAATGACATAAGATACCTTGTAATATTAAGGGATGGTGAAATCAGAAATAGCTGACTCACGAGTGCTGCGACTGACACTAGACTAGAAGCAGAACTAAACAGCTCTGCTTAAGTGCTTTGGATTCTTGGCATATTGTCTAGCAATGCAAGTGAGAACTCTGAAGTGAGAAAAGGAAGCAAACAAGAGTCAAGGAACACAAAGGAAGAGACTGGCAAGCAATCATTTTCAAAGCATAATTCCTTTAAAATTGCTTTTAACAAATTAAGCAAATTACACACTTCTATCTAGGTTTCTTGACTACCTCCAGGTTTACTGATAACCCAGGGAGAGTTGTCTGTCTGGGACTGGGAGAGTCAGAAGGCTAAAAATAGCCCAGCCAGGTTGGGGGGAGGAGTGTGTAGAAGGACAGGTCCAGGGCTGGAGCGAGTGGCTGGGCTTTCCCAGCCCTGAGGCTGCAGTCCAAACCTGTGCAGACATTTGGTACATCAAGCCAATCTGTTCCCCATCTAACTTAGTTCACCTCCTCATGTGAACTAATTCATTTTTCACCAGCCATTTTTCCTTCAGTCTAATCTTCATTATTATCTGCACAGATTGGCATTTAAGACTGACCTAACCCTAGTCATGTCAATCTAAGTTTAACATTTGCACATACACTTAGGGTGTGATCTCACACAGTGCATAATAAATGGATCTGGACTAATATATACATTAAAGTACTATTAGGAAGAATACTCTAAATAAACTGATCCAGAAAGGGACAGGCATTCAAAAAGCCTGAGACTGAATGGATTCAACCTTTGCAGGCTAGTCTAAACTACAGAGACTGAACCAGTTTGCAAGTGGATAGACATTCACTTTTTATTCCAGAAATGCAGGTATATGCCTGCAATGGCTCAGGCCAGAAGCCCAGAGGTGCTACAGCAGCCCTCCCTTCCTTTCCACAGGGAAGTTGAGCTGAGGGGAGGCATGGCCACACCTCATAAGGCTTCAGTATGACTGAGAGGGGTTTAAACCTCCACTTTAGACTGCAGGGTTTGGAGGATGGGGGAAGAGGGAGCAGAGCCATAGAGAGGCAAGGCCAGACCCCTGTAGTGGGAGGAGGAGGAGCTGGGGGAGAGCCTTGCCTGCTCCAATGGCTCCCTGATTGCTCCCAGGCACACTGCTTTGCTGCTCAGCCCTGCAGGGGGACTCTTACCCCACACCACCCTCAGGCAGGGAGGGGGCCTCTGTGCAGTGCTGGAAGGGGATTCTTTTCCCTCCTCCTCCTGCCTTTCCCCCACCACCACAGGGTGGAGAGAGGGGCTGTGTGTGGTGCTGCCTGGTCCCAGAAGGGAACTCTTCCCTCCATCTCCTCCCTGCTTAGTCAGCAGCCTGGCCCAGCACACATGGACAGTGAGCTACCTAAGTGAGCTTGGAGCAGTCTGGGTTGCCCGCTGCCCAGCCAGGCACCGCCTGTGCATGCTAGGCCAGGCTGCTCTCACTGATAGAGCTCAGCTTTGCTGTCACTGAGCTGCAACCACTGGGGCCTGGGCTGGACCCACCATGCAGCTGCCGCAGCCAGGACTGAGCAGGGTTGGCCAGTGCTGTGGGGGCAGAGCCCTCCCCAGCAGTTGCATGTCAGTGACAGCTGCTGGAGCAGCTGCAGTCCCTACCAGTGGGACAGGGAAGGGAGGTAGAGAATAAAACCCCTCCATGCTTGTGTTCCCTAGGGCACCCTGACTGGCTCTTGTCCCTGCCCCTGCCCTTGCTACTCCAGTGGCAGGGGTGGGGGCGTAGCCAGATGCCATCCTGACATGGCCCTGTTAGGTGTAAGGGGGCAGGGAAGGAGAACGTTAAATCTTCCCTCTGTCCCTTCTGCTGCCAGGGACTGAAGCTGGGGTCTACCAGCCCTGGCCCACCACCTCCACCGCTCACCCACAGACAGGTAGACCCCTGCTATGGTGGGGGGGAGGGGAAGGAAGGAAGAATTAATCCCCTCCCTGCCTACTTTGCCTTAACGGGGCCATGCTGGGATGTATCTGGCCATGTGCTTGCCCCAGCTCTGGCTAGAGATCAGAGAGGCAAGGCCAGCCCTGCTCTCTGGAGCCCACGGCTGCAGAGCATGTTGGGATGTTGGAGGACTCAGGTTTAACTTAAACCAATAAGGGGTCTGGGACAGGAGTTGCATACACTGGTTTGACCCAAATCAGTTAAGTATGATAGTACATTCAACCAAATTTGTCTTAAACCAGTTTGGGCCACTTTGAAACTGGTTTATGTGAACTGAGCTTCTGTTATGTTACAGGTTTAAACCAGTTTCTGATCACTTAAACCAGTTCATGTGTAACTTCTGTCCCTAGCCTAAAATAACTCCATAAAATCCTATTCTACCTATATTAAAAGA